ACGACTCCAAAGATGAAAATGTCCTTTCTTCAATACTTTAGTGTAGGTTGATGTTTTTAGAAATATATGAATTATTTTGTAAGTAATGTGGCATGTCTTTCATAAAATTGTGAGAAAATTTGAAAGTTATAAATTGCTTCCTATCCCAAAACATGAAATCGTTTCAAATTCCATTCAATTTGAAATTGTTTTGCTTTTGTTTGAAAAAGGCTTTTGTTCAGTTTCTTGGGAATTTTATTTTTAATGCTTTAGGATTTTTAAAATGTGATTTTTTCTAAAAGTCAAAAAAGTTGGATTGAGACAAATTTTATTTATAAATTTGTCGATGTAATATTTATAAAATTTTCATTGATTTTCAAAGCATTTTTTCGAGTTTATGATGTAATAAAGTTATATAACAATCAAGTCAAGTGCATCAAAAAATGCTTGTCGTATTGAAAAGAGCATTGCGATAATTTGAGGGGTAGTTAAAGTTAAGGATAGTTTAGAATCCAGTAATGACCAACATCATTTGTGCCACGGCACACCTTAGTGGTGAGCCATGATTAAGATCGCTCATGGCAGACGGTTCGTGGGTTTTTTTAAAATTTTCTATTGGTGTGCCGCGGCACATGGTTGGTTGGCACTGGACTAGATCATGATCAGAATGTTTTGGACGTAGTGAAAAGGGTTCGCCGTTTCTTAAATGGCAGAAAGTTTAAATTGACTTTTTCCAACAGTGGACCAACAGTGTATGCAGGATCTAAATAATAAAATGAAGAAATAAATAATAATAATAATAATAATAATCTCTAAAAATAGGTCTTTAGTTACATGGCCCCCAAAAAAATATTTGGTGTATGAATTAATATAGATTGTGACCTTAGTAAGCTAAATCATCCCGATAATGTCCTATAAACTCAAAACTAAGTTCATTTACCCCTATAAATATGTCATAAAAAGTCACATATATATTTCATACGCTTGTCATAAACATTTAGGAATCCACAAGGTATGCACACCTTCATAATTAAACGAACATGCTTATATGCCTAATCATATTCAAATTAAAAATTCCAACAATTTTTCATTTTATTCATTTGTATTTTCATAGAATAATAATTACAAAACTTTGCAATTAAAAAAGTAGAAAAACTTTGTAAATGCCGACAAGCAGGACAAAGGCAACAAAATGAATTAATGCTCGAGGAAGAAATTATGCTAATAAATGAAGTAAAAAGTATTAAAACTCGACGCACATAAATTATTATTTCAGGAAAAAAAGCTAATAAAAATTAAAATAATGGTTTTTACATATTTTTTGGTAAATTTATGCCGCACAATCACGCAAAGGTGAAAAACAAATTGATTTTTTTTCTGTTCTTATTTTTACGCACATTTTTCTACTTTTTCTATTTTTACCTTAACGAAATGCATTTGTGAGGGGTGCTGTGGATGAAAAATACGAGAAAAATAATTAATGGCACCTAATTAATTTTACATTAATTGCTTAGAACTTGTGTAAGTTGTGTGTAGCTATATGAACAATATAACTGATGACATTTGAGTGATTTAGACTTGGATTTGAAATTTTATTGTAATTATTGTAGATTACTATCGGCTCAATAGAGGTTCTAGTTTGAGAATTTAATCCAATTTTTGATGGGGGGGGGGGGGGGCATATTTAAAGGGCTGTTCTCTTAATGCGTAACGTGAATGGCCAAAAAAGACAGAACCTGTGACTTATAAGTTGATTCCTTGGTAACCAAATGTTTACTGAATCTAATACTTTACATACTCCCACATAGAAATAACAGCCCTAGAAAGTCACTGAAAGACTTGAAAATAAAAACAATTTTTTTTTCTGTGTATTATGCTTGTGATCCTGGATCTTACAAAACCTACGCGATTGATGAAAATATTAAACATAAATCAAATTGATTAGAGTTGTTCATTTAATGTGCGATAAATCATGTATTTGTCAAAAAAATGTCAATTTAGAATTGCTTACTTGAAAGCTTGCGAGAAAAATGAATATCGGACCTCGTTTTCATCCTGATTTAAATTTTAGAAAAATTAAAATCAAAATTAAACCCCTTTGAGGTCGTTCACTTATGACGTCTGAAATTAACGGCCATTTTTCAAAAAAGTAATGGATTTCCAGGAATTTCTTTTGTTCTTTTCTTGCTCCTTCCCCGACCATCCCCCTCTTCATCTCCCTCCTTGACTTCATAAGTAATGAACCCCTTTTCAGAAAATCAATAATTCACAGTCTTTTACAACTGACTGCTTCACAAAAGAATAAGAATTCTCATCAGAATGAAAGCTTCCAAGAAAACTCATCAACTCAAATTAGAATTATTAGAATCCGACAGTGACGAATGAAACAGCAAGAAACAAAAAAAGCTGCGTCACGATTTCTAAGAACAAAATTGAAAGCTTCTTTGTTGTTGAAATGAGAATTCATTGTAAGTTCCTTGACTTCTAGTCGATTAGCCACCCAAAGCGAAGAAGATGTTTTGCACTCGATTCGATGAGATAATATTTTAAAGAAGGTTTTCGGGGAATTCCTGAAGTTATTGATAGTGGCAATTAGGAATGCAAATTTTTTAAGAATTAGATTTTTGTGAGAAGATTTAATTTTTGCATTTTAAATTGAAATTAAGGAGATTGTGTCATTTATCAACATTATTTGGTTAAGTTTTATTAAATTTAATGCATAAAAAACCTAATAAAACCATCAAATTCCCAAGGTTATTCACCTCAAATCTTCATCTAAACTATATGTCATCATTCTCTATTTTGACTAGTTTTTTCTTTCATCAAAACAAAATTAGAAGTTTTTATTATGTCATGAAATTGGAAATACCGAGACTTAAAAGGAGAATATGAGAAAGATGGCTTAAAATACCAAAAATGTGGTACAAGAATATTCAAATCAGAGAACAATAAAAAGTTTTTAAGTGTTAATTTTTTAATAGATTAGCTTTAAAAGGTTAAAAATAAAGATAACATAATTTTAAGTTTTTTTAAATAGTTTTGTGTCATGACTTTTGATGATGATATTTTTGGTTGGTAGGGAGCACCCTGCTAAGGCCCTTAATATTGAAAAAAAAAACATTTAAATTGACTGGCAAGTTTATAAACCTTCAAAAAAAAAATCATTTCCTCATTAATTTCCCATTCAATATTTCTCAGAAAAAGAAAAATCTCCAAATTTTTATTATGACCCAAAAATGCTCATGTTTATTTGTCTATCAGCGAAATAAATTTAACCATATGTAAAAAATAAGAAAATAAGGAATAAAAATGATTTCGAAGTGATATTGAAGAAATAAAAAACAACATTTTAAATTCTCTTTTTTACGAGATGTGGAGGGCGTAGAACTTAATGTCTGTTTTTCATTTTTCAGACTTTTTTTTGATTCAATCATTTCTTCACTCTTTTGTGTGTTGAAAATTCATTTTGGCATTTTTCTTGAATTATCATGTAATAAAATTATAATCTTTTTTCAACTCAATTGAGGTTTTGGCTTCAAGTGGAATGAAAGAATTGTGAATTTTAATTGCAGTCATTAGAAATCTCTTCAAAAATCAATTTTTTCAAACTTTATTAAATTTAAATAAAACAATTATGAACTCGTCTTACCTCTTAAATATCTCAGAAGCCTTCAACTGAGTGCAAGTACCAGACACCAGACAGAGCATCAAATATTTATTCAGCTTTGCTCATCTTTTTGCAAGTTACAGTAAAAATAACTTAATTTGTTTATTTTGTTTGAGTTTATTGTGTGTTTTTCAATATAAAATAGCGATTATGTGATTGTAATTAAAATTAATAGATTTTTTTCATATATTTTCAAAATAGCTTAATCTTTTTGTATTTGCCATAAAATTAGACGATAAATAAGATCAACTTAATTTTAGAGATTAGGTCACTATTTAGATGTGGGTTCAAAAATCCCTAAAATATTATCACATTGTCATACCTAAATAGATTTTTTATTATAGCGACCCAGGATTTATAACTCGACCAATCGACAGACTTTCAGTAGAATTTTCTGCCTAAAGTTTTTTCAATCATATAAGCTAGTCAACATAAAATGACGGAACCATCCAAAATTAAAGATCTTCATAAAATTAAATTAAAATCATTTCTACACTAAAACTTAATCTGCACCATAAAAATATTTAAAGAAATAATTTCGAAATTCCACTTAACAAGATTTTAAAAATCAATTCAAAATTTATAATTGATAATCAGTATCAGTAATGAAAAGTTGGCTCTTAAAAAATTAAGAAAATGTTTATCAACACTTAAAAATCGATTTACATACGAAATCTGCTGTAAATTTCTTAAATGAGAAGTTAAAAGCTTTTAATTAAAAAAATTTCTGTTTAAGTTTTTGAATATTCATTAAAGTGTTGATCCTGTTACTTAAATCAGTTAAATGTTTATTTGTTAATGGTCAGAGATGTAGTCAGAATTAGCAAGGAGTATAGATATTTTTCAAATATAAAATTGAATTTTTAAGAGGGTTTAAATTGCTGTGTCAAGCAAATTTCTATCCATATGAGTGATTTAACAACAGTTTTAGTAATAATTGGCCCATGATAGCATATTAGTGTAAAAAACCTAAATTTGTAGACAATCAATGCCTAAAGATAGTATTTGAATAAACCAAAATTTCAAAAATTGGATTCAAACCTTGTTTTACCTTCTGACTATGCTCCTGAGCCATCTTGTTATTCAAGAACATTAAAGAAATTTATTTAAGTATAAAAAGTAATTCAAATTTATTTTTAATTTTTAATAGCTTCTGTAAAATTGTAAATCGATATTTATTTGAATAAATTCTTTAAGTGACTTGCATGTAAGCTTGAAGTTAAAAATGATAAAAAATGGTAAAATTAATAAAATAATCATAAAAAAGTTGTTAAGATTTAAAGCTGTAAAGTTAAAAATCCTGAAAAATTAAAATAAATATTTAAAAAGCAATAAAATAAAGACAAGATCAATTTTGGCATTCAATTTTTAAATTATTTAAATTTTTATTGAAAATTTCAATTTTTCAAAAAAAAAACCTCAAATTGTGATTTTTTTTAAATTTTCTGTTTCTTAATTTAACATCATCCTTATGCACTATGTTATCATGTATTCATAAATGAATTAGTATACCATGAATAAACGTATTGGTTTCAAGTTTTACAAACAAGAATCAATTTAGCCTATGATTATAATTCAAATTATCATCTAAGGTTGGTTTTTTTTATTTCCTTCAATTTACTCTAAGAGTCCCAAATTTAAACAATTTCGTTCGCAATCCGGTCGATTCTATTTCTGCTTAAATTTCTCTGTTCTTAAACTAAACGACTTGATTTTATCATCTTTAAGCTTATTTTCTATCTTTCCTTTTTCCACTAATAATTTAATCTAGTCCTTAATTTACTACATTAATTTAATCCATATTCATCCTTAATTTAATTCATCTTTTTTTTCGTATAAAATAGGTAATAAGTTTCAGCTAAGTTATGGTACTTATTCATATTATAAAATCCTTAGTAATTGCATTGTGACATTTCATTTTTTTATATCCATTTTATGGTTCAAAAATTTCATTTACTTAATGACAATTATTTTAGTGTTTTCTTCTTCGTTCTTAAATTGTAACTTCTGTTTTTAAAAAACTTCCTTAATTTAACTAAAAACATTATTTTTTCATATTTTTTTTGCTCCTAGGGTCGGGGTTCGAGTGGAAAAATTGATTAAAATGCTTTATTGAATTTTTTTATATCAAATTTTAATTTTTTTCATCAATTTTTCAACAAGAATTTTAGAAAATTTGACACATTTTGATTTATTTTTATTTTTTCATTTTTTTTTTGGTTTGTAAATTTTCTATAAAATTCTTGTCAAATTAATTGAATTTTCAATTATTTTTTCAATTTCCAAAATATTCAAATTTTATTTTTCCGTTAAACTTTTAAATTTCGTTTTTGCATTAAACTTTCAAGTTTTATTTTTCCATTAGAAACTTTTAAATTTCAACTTTCCTTCAAAAATTTAAAATTTCTCCACAAAACTTGCTGAATTTTTTCCATTAAATTTATCAAATCGTCCATATAAAAAATTTTATTTTTGCCAAACATTTAAAAAAATTCTCCTAAATTTAGAGATTTAGGAATTTATAAAATTCTTCAAATTTTGTGTAAAAATTTCACTTTCAATCTAATATTTTTCCATCCCCAGACCCCCAACCCCTCATCATTTTTCCATCTTTTAGATAAATTAATTTACTTACTCTACACATTTTTTTTTCTCACAAATTTTTGTGAATTTCTTCATGTATTTTAGGCGGCAGTTTGGTTTCATAGATAAAATTTCATTTTATTTCAGTTTCATTTAGTTTTATTTTATTTAAATTTTTTTTTGTTGTTGTAAATTTTCTTTTACTTTTTACTACCTGACTGGTTATTATTATTACTATTATTATTAGTTTGTTGCTGTTGAGCTTTCAGACTTTCTGACTTGACAAAGTCAATTTGAGCATAAGTGAAAGCTGGCTGAGATTGTTGCGATGAGGCTGACGACGAGGATGATGATGATGTTTGCGGACTAGAACTTGTTGTGAAGTCCATCTTTGTTCCGCTCGTTTCATCAACATCCATTTTCTGTTGTTGAGCTAAATGTATAAGATTTGTATTACTGCATGGCGGCAAATCTAAACTTGCATAATGAAGCTCACGTTCCGAGGTGACAGATGGAGGTCTCGATGTCATGTGCACATCGGATGATACTGATTCAGGTCGCGATATTATGCTCATTGGTGAAGGTACTCCGGATGTTGTGTCCATCATAATATTTTTTAATGTTGAACTTGATGAACATTGACTTTGAATTTCGCATAGGGTTGAGGTGGATGATGAGGTAGAACTAAGCGCCAATCGTTCGCTATTTGCTGAATTAGGTCGATTTGATAAGAAGCCACTAGTGGAGCACTTTATTTTTTCACTATTTACAGAATTTGGACGAGACAAGCTAGGTCGCGATAATATTTCATAGCCAGTATCATTTGACGATCGATGACCCTTCTCCGAAACATGACGCTGTAACAAAGGATGATTTCTCATTGAATTCGAATCAGAGTCTTCAACGATTGGTTTAAAGCACGAATTACTGGTATTCAATTTCTCATGGCTCGATATTGTTAAAAGTAATGATTTTTTCGATGATGTCACTGGTGGTATGTCACTATCACATTGTTGCTGCGCTTGCTTTGCAATTGGTGATGATGCTGCTTTAACCGGATTCATGAGAGCATAATCACCAGCCTCAACGGAATTATTATTGTTATTGTTATGTTGAGGTATAATTGGTGTGGGTGTTACAATTTTTTGTGATGAGTTGATATGCGCGCTGGGCATACAATTTATGTAATCGTGATTTTCTGAATCCGGACTTGCTAAAAAATGACTTGTTGCATTGGCACTTAACGATGATGATGATTTTATTTGGACGGGCGTTGCAGCTAAATTTGGCTTCTTTGAAACCGGCTCACCGAGATTCATTACTGCATAATCATTGCTCAGTGTGTCGAGTTGCTTCTCACTGTTATTACTTGTCATGCCCATTGGCACAGGCGTTCTTGGTTCCTCCTCTATTATGTCGTCTTCACTCAGCTTTATTGTTCCTGTTGATCCATCAACGAGACATTTTCTTGGCAAATTTGAGTCATCGATTGGATCGAACTGCTTCATTGGACTGCCTGGTGAAAATGGAAATATTGTAGCTTGTGAACCAGATGGTGTACCAACAATTCCACTATCACGACTATCACATCGTGTTCGACTGATATTTGTTGATCTTGTTGGACTTACACTGGCTGTAATTTGATTAGTGCCAGTTAGAGGAAGGAAAGCAGGTGGACCATTTTCAATACTACCAGATTTTGATGATTTTTGAGATCTAGAGCTGTTACTGTATCGTTTATTTATCGTAATTGGCAGGGATATTGAACGGTCTTTTGCTGATGAGCTTGAGTCACTTGTACCAGCACCATCATTATTGTTACTATAATCCATGTTGATGTACTCATCGGATGATGACGATGGATTATCATTGGCATTATTACGTGTTGCTGCTGCTTGATTCTTCTTATTTGTTTTCGTCCATGACATTTCCATGTATCCGTCAGGTACACTCGAACGCTTTGGAAGATCAACATCGGGTAGACTCTTATTGACTGGACTCATATTCAAATAATCATCGGATGATAATTTCTGTGATGATAATGATGTAACAGATGATGTCATGCGGGTATTTCGATGATTATTTCTTGAGCTTATATCATAAGAACGTGGTGACATGTCCATGTAATTACTATTATTATTGTTGCTGTTATTATTGTTGGTGCTACCAGTTGTATTGCTCGTTGCTGGTACAGAACGTGGAGCACTCGCTGTTGGCGTTGTTAAAGCTTTAAGCGGTGAACTTGATAGACTTGTTGAGGTATTTGATGTTCGCAGTGTTGTTGATGATGCTGGATTCATATCCATATAGTCATTATTCTCACTTACACGTCGACTTGCTGTTGGCTTCATATCGACATATGGACTTATACCGGCTGAACAACTCGATTTGTTCGATTGACGTCCCGACATATTCATATAATTATCATTTGGCTTACTTGGAATATTTACAGGTGAACTTTTTATTGGTGTACTACTCGTATTCACACGAGTTAGGCTCGATCCACTACTTTGACTACTAAAATCTATTTCCATTAAATCATCCATTTGTTCGAATGATCCATGACCAGTCTTTCCCAATACATTCGCTAATAACGGTGCACTCGATGATTTCTTATTCTTTGCATTATTATTATTATTATTACCACTCGTATTATTATTGATCTCGTGATGATTCATGGCAACAGGTGAATTATGTGATGATGGTGTATGACTACCGCTATGACTTGTCAATTCAGCTCTCGATACTTTTATATTACGAGAACCGACTGAATAAGCTCGATGTCTTAGATTTGAATGTTCGGCAGCAACACGATCAATATGAAGCTTTCTCTTTGTATGCTCAAGCTTACTACCGACTGAATACGTCCTTGGCGGTCTGTCCAATAATTCATCATCCTCACTCGGTGTAAATCGAGCCTGCACCTTATCTAAATGATATTCAGAGAATCGAATATCTGTTGATGGTGTGCCGGATGTAATACTGCAACTTGATGTCGCTGAACTCAATTCACCACCATGAATTGACATTTGATTATTGGCTGGTTGCATGTTCATGTAATCTTCGGGTTGTGACATTTGAAGGTAACTATCGTGATTCGTGGCTGGATGCATTGGTACGTAGCCCTCATTGTCTTCTGCAAGACTTGAAGCACGACTATGTGCACCGGAGTTGACATACATTCTGTGGACGAGATAATGAGGAAAATTTGTTATTAGACATTGTGGTTGAATTGTAAGGTATGTGAAGATTTACATGATGTAAAAATCCAATATAAAATCAAAAGAGCTAGACTTACCCCGTTCGGTAGTCACCAGGTGACATTGGCATGTATGCATTATGTGGAGGATCACCGGGACTGCAGCTATATGGACTATATGGATGCATGTCGACATAAGCTTCATGTGGCGGGATTGGACTCTCCTTCCTTTGATTATGATTAAGAGAAATATTGTTATTCCATTTGTGCCAATTTGATTCATTTTCTTCAGGTATAGAAAATGAGCTGATTTTTTTTGTGTGTCAATTTATTTGATAAATTTTTTTCATTTGTAAAGGATAATTTTTTTGTGTTAGTTTAATTGTCGAATAAATAACAGTGACAACTTCCACGTGATGAGCATGGAGAGTTTTCACATAAAAAATTGATAAATATCTACTTACTTTTGGTAATCTCGCAAATTTCCATGCTCCTCAAGTGTCATTGAGTGTATGAATCCATCAGTCTCGTCAATGCTCGCCGATGAGGCATCACTTTCGGAACATGAAGGTGGGCTGATTGGTGATGAATTGTTTGGTGGACTGTTACCATAACGCTGCGATGCATACGACATAGAAACGGGTCTTCTTGGAGGTGGCATACTTATATTATTATTTATGGTATTATTGTTATTATTCGCATAATTTCCATTCTGTTGAGGTGTCTGTGAATGCGTTGGCGTCGTGTCACTCGTTGTTCGGATTCGTGTTAATGGAAAACTATCACATCTCTCACGTGTCGATGCTGATGAGCCTTTATTTTTTTTTTGAAGAAAATAGATTATTATTAGTATTTTTAGATTTTTATGAAAATAATAATAAGAAATATGTTAATTTATAGAAACAATTTAGTTCAGAGAAACGAGAAGCACTTGCAAACATCACATGCAGACAAGTTGATTCATAACTCTTTTAAGGTTTTTGTCGTAGATCTTTGCAGATTTTTTAAAGGGTGAAAAATTTGTGGTGATTAAATTTTGATGAAAAGAAGTGCAAAAAAATAAAGAACAAAAATGTGAACACAAAAATTTCTACAAAAATAATTTATTTTGATAATTTTTAATGCGAGCAGATCCAAAAAGATGTGAATAGGTGTAGCCAGAAGGGTTGAATTTTGTTAAGGAAGATGTTTATTTACTTTAAAAAATTCCAGCAAAATGTAAAAAAAAATGTTCTTGTCGAGGGGTTTGACCTAAGCCTTCCTGGCTACAATCATGGATTTTGTGTCATAAATCTTGAACTTTTTCATTGAAAATCCATCAAACATTTCGCAAAACAAAAATCAAGCAATTTTCGTCGACATTGAAGATAAATTCATTAAGTCGTGATCGACTTGACACAGATTCCACAACAATAATTTGAAAATATTAAAGGTTTCCTGAACAGCACCTACTTAAATGCTATTCACACGACTGCCAAGCGGTTAGCATACTTAGAACCAAGAGTCAGCTTCTGTTCCATCCATTTCTATTCTAATGCCATGAAACTAGATGTTCCAAGAGGCTACAACTTAGTTCTAAGTAAGCTACCTTTAAAGCTGCCATGTTCTCAACACTTAAATGTGTCGTCATCCCGAAAATTGAAAAACATCCCGAGCAATACAAATAAAAGGAAGCAATAAAGATGAAACATTCATGAATCCCATTTGGATGTGTGTAAAAAAGGAATAGCAAATGTGTAATGACTGATGAGAATATGAAAACAGAGCATGATGGAATGATTTATAATGTTATTTGGATTTTCATCATCGATATATATATGTGAGGATGTAAAGGCACGAGCAGAATAGTGTGTGCAGCATATGTCGATATGTCAAATCATCGTATGAAAATGGAATGGATGAGTAAGTAAAGAAAGCTGTTAGATGTGCAATAAGTTGAGAGATTCGTGCTCATATTGTATTCCACAGCGATATCATTGCGGCCTTCAAATATTTGCACTAGAATTTTATATAAGAAAAGCACACAGAGAAGAGAATTATTCAAGATTTATTGAGTTTGGCTATCACCAAAGTGGCACTTTCAATGTTTTGATAGCAGCAGCAACAACACCAAAAAAAAAGCTAGTTTCTTGACAACAAACATATCACATTGAATTTTGAGTGCAGCGTCGTTCGTTGTCCATCAAAAAAATATACAATTTTTTTTGTCCTCACAAATTTGCTCTCATGCTTAAGTACTCAACTATGGAGATTAGATAGACAAATAATAGGACAACATTTTTGAATTGTCATTTGAATTTTTTTTTGTTCTATTCTTCGCTTTTTGGCTTGTTATTTTAGATTTTTGCTTATTTACAAAGAGAAGAAATTGTTATTTTTTAAGGTTGGTGCATATTTTGCTGGATAGAAACCACTTGCGTCATTTTTGATTTTTCTTGGAAAGACTCTACTTGCTTTGCTGTTGATTTCGTATCGAGGAATTAAATATAACTTAGAGGTAGGACTTAAACTTAAGATTTTATAGCTAGGTTGTCCCTGAAGTGTGAAACCTTAATATTCGACCCATCCGTATGTTTATAATGAGTATTCATGACTTATTAAAAGGTCTGATACCATCCCAATGGGTCTCAGATCTTCTCCTTTGCTATGCTTTGCTTAAACAACGCCTAAGTTCCATAAATAACTTAAACAATCCTTACAAATTATCTTCATGAACCCCAAAAAAAGCACTGTCTCATATTTCACACTTCGATGCCAGTAATCCTAATCCCAACCGCAAGCAAGTCAATTTGTACATTAAAGAAGTACACAACAAAGTATCCAGCAAAAAAAAGCACCTTATTCATCCACATAACAATATAGATTTTATAACAATCTCATTCGTTTTTGTCATGTCGTGTAATACAATAAGTAATAGAAGTGAAGGAAGAATTTATAGCTAGCAACAGTTGCAAAAAGTACATAATATAATATGATAAATATTTTTTGTTGTGATTGTGTTATTATTTTTTTTTTTTTTGGATACATACTCCTCAATGACGCCGTCATGACATTATGATGTTGGCGCTTTTTACGAAGTTGTGATGGCGATGAAGAAGCATTGCTATTGTGCGATGAGAAATTTGAATTGGCAATTTTTGACAGCTGCTTCAAAATACTACTGCCACCATTATTAGATCGATAGCTATTATTATTCACAACATCCATATTTTGATAATCTTCAATGATGCTCTCCATTGAATTGTTGTTCTGTTTTGATTCAATAATAACGCCACTTGAGGTGTATGAAGACGACAATGATGATGATGTTGTTGGTGTCGGTGATGTTACTGTTATCGTTGTACTGTGTAATGATGAATATTTTGTAAAATTTGGTGGTGATTGTGAGGTAAAATCAATGGCAGTCTCTTCTGTTAATGGTAACGATCTCGTACGATGATGCACAGGTTGAATGGCAAATCCTTTATTATTGTTATTATTATTACTGTTATTGTTGCCCTTATTATTACTTATATTAAAGCTATTACTATTATTTGATGACGTTTGTGCTGTTTGATTTGCATTTACAGCGAGAATTGAATTCGAATTTTGCGGTAATGATAATGCTCTTTGATGATAAATCATTGATGAGGACGGCGATGATGTTGACATAACTAAATTATCCAATAAAGAATCGAATATGAGTTTTTGACTTTTTTTTTCAATTTTTTCGCGGAGAATAAATTTCAATTTTCAAATAGTAATGAGTTAATATGAATGAATGTTATGTTATGTTATTGCATGGCATAGCTATAAATGTTCAGTGAGAATAAAATGCGATGTTTATTGCAAATTGAGAGTTTTTGTAGTGATTTGAATAATTGAAGATCAATATTTGTGGTTGGATGATAAATCAAGATTGATTAAATGTAAACATTAATTATATGTAATGAGATGATGCGAGTGCAAGGTGTGTGCACTTTTATTGGATGCATAAAAGGAAGTTATTTTTGTGTGCTCAAATTAGTCGGAATTTAATTGAATAAGAGGGTGAAGTTTTGGTAAAGGTACTCTAGTGTAGTCCCCCTCCTCTAGAAATTTAATTTTAAAATGTTATCACACCTTGCCAGCGGCAACACCTTCATCACTGCATAAATGCACACCATACTGGATATATAATTTAAATAATCATATATTGTGAACATATTATTGAAGAAACACAAGTCATAATGTCATTAAATAATTATTACTGCAAATTATGAAAATTTCTTCTTTGTTATCAATAAATGGCAGTTTTTTGCAATTAATTCAAATTCCATAAAAACGAGAACAATGTCAGTTGATTGATTGAGACTCACACAACTAAGCAGAATTTCCTTTTCTCATTTTGCAATAAAAAAAAAATCGCATTTTATTCAATTTAATATAAAAAGTTATTGTAAGAGCAAAAAAATGAATGAAAATGAGCATTTTGTGAGTAGTTAGGTTTATGTTCATTGATGTAAAATATACAAACATGTTCATTAGTTCGTTAATGCAATATAGCTGATTTTATATCAAGCGACATGATACGATATTATTTGTGTTATTTTTTTTGTTATTATTTCTTCTCATATTTAATATTACTTTTATAATTATTATTATTATTAATAAATTAATTATCAAATAAAGGAGAAAATATAAAAATGTTTATTAAAACAGAGCAACGAGATACGAGAACAGGAATTTTGTATAATAAATTTTATTTAATGTTAAAAAAAATTGTTATATTGGTTAAATGAAATGAATAAATGAGTGTGTATGAGCACCTTCCTTTATACATTAATTATATCTACACCAATTAAATTTATTATTTTTGTTGCATTATACAGAGCTGCTTTTTTTCTGTTGCTTGCTGGTTTTATTTTTCCTCTCTTCATCCACTTTCATTTTAGCACTTTCAAACAATGGGAGGGAGTTTGGTGAAGTTAGAGACCATTGGATTAGTTTTGAAGGATTTTGAACTTAAATTTCAATCAGTTTTAAATGTTTCGATCAGTTTTGAAAGTTTTCGATCAGTTTTGAAAGTTTTCGGTAAGTTTTGAAAGTTTTCGGTCAGTTTTGAAAGTTTTCGATCAGTTTTAAAAGTTTTCGATCATTTTTGAAAGCTTTCGGTCAGTTTTGAAAGTTTTCGGTCAGTTTTGAAATTTTTCGGTCACTTTTGAAAGTTTTCGGTCAGTTTTGAAAGTTTTCGTCAGTTTTGAAAGTTTTCGGTCAGTTTTGAAATTTTTCGGTCAGTTTTGAAAGTTTTTAAAGTTCTCGGTCAGTTTTCAAAGTAATCGATCAGTTTTGAAATCACAAAAGAATTCCAACTTCCCTCAAACCCATCTCAATCAGCCATCATTCCAAGGGAAAATTCAATCCAGAAGCGTAAACCAACAACAGAGTCATTGCGAAAGATACTTTTACAAAATTAAAAGTTGTAAATTAAAGCTTACAGGCTATAATCCACTTAGAGCACTTGACATACGCCATAAATCCTTATTATTAGTTTTTAGCTCTCATAGCACTCGCAATGAGCTACTTTTTTTTCTAAAAGGATATTTTTCCATTCTTCTCGTTTTAATAGTGAAATGAAATAGAGCATCACAAAAAAAAATCGAGCATGTGGATGTACTTTTTTTTTCTATGAAAAAACCACAGTAAAATGTAATTTTAAGCTTCGTGTTTGACTAACGAGAGAAATTTTTTTTATGCATGTTGGAAAAATGTTTTATATGGTAAAAGGCTATTGTCCTAATGGAATCAAAAAAAATGTGAACGCATGAAAAATTTTCCGGTGGTTTATTGTATTCGGATTTGAAATGGAATTTTTGTCGTTTAAAGTTTTTTATTTTGGTGGTTTTTGTGAAAGTTTTATTGCAGATTTATTGAATTTTTTTTTATATTTTTTAAAATTGATAATATTGCAATAAAGCAGCAATTAAATTGCAACACATCACTACCCCAGAAATCTACATAATTTACAAATTTGTGGACATATTTTCCCCATTAAAAAAGAATTTATTCCATCAACATCAATTAAAAAATGCTGTTTTAAGTCAACTCGTTGTATAAACAACCTCATAATTAACTCCATAATTAATTAATCAATTAACATCGTCTGGACAACCATAAGCAGTAACTGCAATTGCCAGTCAAAGTAAACAAATAATTTGCATTTAAAAAAAGTCATAAATATTCACAATATTTATGAACTTAACAGCACATAAAAAAATTTACATAATCTTGCAACTTCAATTCCGCAAAAAAAAAAAGAATTTACTTTAGCACAATACAAAGTGTAATTATCAATATTTATTAAAGTGAGGCGTCGTGAAATAAAAAATTATTTCCAAAACAGGCGCCAATGACAATTCGAACCTTATCGCTCATATGAGTTCTGCGTGTGATTTAGTTTTATTGCTAAAAAATATTTATTTTCATGTTCTTACATTACATCACTGCCCTTATACATAGTATGAGTATTTCTATACTGACAAACAAGTTTAAATTATTGAGAAATAATATTTTAGTTGCTGATAAGCCTGAACACAATTTTTGATTTTTTAGCATTGAAATAGTTTATTGACTTCTTATTCGACAAATGTGACAACTGCGTGAACCTTTTTGAACCCCACGATTAAGTTATTCAACTGTGAATAAATATTTTTAAAACAAAAATTAATCGGAAGTGATGGAAAAGAGGAAGAAGAAACTTTGTCATGCATTAATTAAGGACACTTTTGTTCCGAAGCCATAGAACAAAAATTGAATTTATTTATTTTTTACTGTGATGACTGCAAAAGTCGACCAGGTGTGTCCATTAAATAAAATTTCCTCAGAGATCGAGTGTGAAGGAATACTGTGTGTGTGTTTGCATGTGACCCGGCTTTTTTTATGGTCATGGCATGTTATATACCACCGGCATTAGTTGTGCGTGTGTCAATTGATCCATAAATAATTCTCACACACATGGGAGGATATAAAAGTTGATACATAATAGGAAATTGTAATTGAAAAATTTATTGAGCATTTTGGGGGTGTGGAGAGCTTGTTGTTTGGGGAATTGTGGCTTGTTGTTGGGATCTGTTGAGTATTTAGAGGATATGATTATTTTTATAAAGATTGTCTTATGTTTTTTGATATATGACTGTGATTTTGAGTCAAAATAATTCTAAGTGAAGCTTCTTTATATCTTGTAAGTAAGTTAAGTCAAATGAGCATTTAAAGAGAGGCACAATGTAGAAGCTAGTTGCTTCATTCATGCAAAACGTTATAGAAATTCAAGAGCGTACTGTCAGCACATAAATGAGCTACACTGCAGTTATCCACTCAGAAGACGCAGAATACCTGATGTGTCCTCCCAAACAGTATCAAAATTCAGCTAAATACCTAAATTGCTAGCTCAATCACAGGTCAACAACCTGAAAATGATATATTTGCTTCAGAATAAAATTCAGCACGTAAAACACTATTAATTTTAATCAAATGTCCTCTTTATCGAGCCAGAAAAGCTGACTAAATTACCCATACATCCTCTCATCCCCCAAAAGACATCTCCAAATCAACAAAACGGTAAAAAAAATTCAAGCAAGCATTAATAATGTCCCCCTTTAAATATTCAATAATCTAAATTGATTGCAGGAGTAGCAATGCAGTCAAAACGTTAGACAGAATAAAAAAAGGAATTTATATTTAAACACAAGACACAAATTGCAATAGAAATGAGCAGAACTGCTTAAATGTATCGTAAAGAAATTTTTTGGCTCTCACAGGAACATAAAATAAATTTTTAAAACATTTATTCCATTCCGGATAATAAGAAGATTTTTCTTTCTCAACAATAAATCTGTTGAAATGCTGCATTCATTGTACCTGTAAATAGCAGTCATTGAAAATGGAGTGGAAATTGAAGGACTAAATAAAATAAAATAAAATACCTCTCAGACATGTTTCGTCTTTAATACGACAACAGAAATAATGGATTAGTTTTTTTTTTGTGTGTGATTACCGCACATGTGAGACATGGAAGTGGAGGCATTGAAGTGTTTTGTTAGGAACAATTACTAAAACGACTTGTTGAACACGTCGGTAAACTAGAAAATGATTTTATTTTCATCTTATCTCAATTTTCAACTTTGTTTTCTTGTTGTTTGATTGCCTTTTGATTTGATTGGATGTGAGGATTTTTAGAGGAGTTTTTGGATGGGCTTGTTAGGAGTTTGATGTAGTTTTGAAGATAGTTCGTTTGGTATTGTTGAATTATGGAGGTATATTGATATTTCTTGCATTGCATAATGCTTAATACGAGATTCTGACTCCTTTAAAAACATCAATTCTTCGAATAATCCATTAAATTCTTCAAACTAGTTCGAATGTTTTTTTTTTAAAATTCCAATGAACCCTCAAAATTCATCAAATAATCCTATAAAGTAATAAAAAACACCAATCAGCCCCACAAGCCCTCCAATAAGTTAATACATTACATTCTTTCCATATTACCACCATCAAAAGCTTCAAATCTGCTTCAGTTCCCATGAAAACAAAAAAAAATTCTTTTACAGGTCAAAAACATGATTTTATTTCCATCCTCATTCCCACCCATACCCATTTATGCACACATGATGAAAAACATGAAATAAAAAATTGTTTT